CTCTGCAGGGGGGACAAGCCCCCATGGGGTATGGACTTAGGGTCTCACTCACGTGCCTCCCCTCCTCGGAAAAGGGGTCTCATGCCGAGATCCCCACAGCAGCCCTGGTCACAGGTGGAGGCAGTGGTTCAGGGCCGCCCTGACCTGGCCCCTAAGGTTCCTCCAGCCCAGGCTGCCCTGATGTCCCTGGAGGCCTGGGCTCCACCAGACCACAGGTCCAGGGCACCACCCACAGGAGCCACCCACACAGCTCACAGGAGGAAGAGAAACCCCAGACCCGCAGGGCCAGGACCTGCCTTGCTACCACTGCTTCCTGCCCCAGACCTTGGCGCCCTCCCCCTTCCACTTACACACAGGCCAGGAAGCTGTTCCCACACAGTTCAACCCCAAACCGGGACCACCTGGCACTCAGGTCACTGCCGTTTCCTTCTCCGTTTACTCCCAGTGCCTCTGTGCTCCCTCCCTCCTCCCTCCTTCAGGAGAACACCCTGTGCAGCCCCTTCCTGCAGCCCACACCCTGGGGAGACTCAACCCTGCACCCACACCCTGGGGAGCCCCAACCCTGCACCCACACCCTGGGGAGACCCGACCCTGCCTCCAGCCCTTTCTCCCCCGCTGTTGTTGCTGCCCACACGGACAACCCTGGGGTCCTGTCCCTGTAATCCCCACCCTGGTCTCCACCCAGACCCCTGTCCCTCCCTCCAGACACTCCCACCAGGCCAACCCTGCACCTGCAGGCCCTCCCCTCTTCTGCTTCGACAGCCTCAGTTTCTCCCGCATGTGCCCAACCCCTGCCTCCTCCTGCCCACAACTCAAGTTCTTTGTCTCCTGGGGCCCCTGAGCCATGGCACTGACCCTGCACTTCCCACCCACACACTGCCCATGCCCTCACCTTCCTCCGGCCACTCTGGCCCTGCTCCCCTCTCAGGCCTGGCTGTTGTATTTCCAGGACGAAGGCTCACCCAAGTCTTTCCCATGCAGGCCTGGGCCCTTGCCCTCACTGCCCATTTACAGGGCAGCCTCCTGTGCACAGAAGCAGGGAGCTCAGCCCTTCCACAGGCAGAAGGCACTGAAACAAATCGGCCTCCAGCGCCTTGACGCACGTCCGCCTGTGTCTGTCACCGCCCGCACCTGCAGGGAGGCTCGGCTCTCCCTTCAAAGATGAGGGATCCAGGCAGCAACATCACGGGAGAATGCATGGCTCCCAGACATCGCGGCCCTCTCCAGGCCTCTCCTGGGAAGAGACCTGCAGCCACCCAGTCAACGGAGTCTAACACCAAAAAACATCCCTGGAGGTGGATGATACTAACGGAGTCACTGCCAGACCCTGGGCAGGGGAGCAGTGAGCTGGAGCCCAAACTATACAGCCAGAGACCAGCCACTGACATCCCGAGCCCCTCACTGGTGGCCCCACAACACCCCATGTAAACAGGACAGACCCACATTCCCAGCTGGACCAGGGCGGAGACTGCTGAGCCCCCAGCACCAGTACCAAGAAACACCAGGTAACGGCATCAGCGGGGGCTCCTGCAGAACAGAGGAGGGAAGGTCTCCTTCACCAGCAAGCGCTTGCCTTGACCAAAAACAGGGTCCACGCAACTCCCCCAGGACAAAGGAGGAGCCCCCTGTACAGCACTGGGCTCAGAGTCCTCTCCAAGGCACCCTGAGTTTCAGACAAAACCCCCCTGGGAGGCACAGTCTCAGCAGGAGAGCCGGGCCAGAGCCAGCAAGACGGGACTCGGTGACACCGCAGGGACAGGAGGATTTTGTGGGGGCTCGTGTCACTGTGAGGATATTGTAGTGGTGGTGACTGCTATGCCCACAGTGACACAGCCCCAGTCCCAAAGCCCTACTGCAAATGTACCCACTTCTGGGGCTGAGAGGCTGGGGCAGCAACTGGGAAGTAGGACCTGGGGTGTCCACAAATGTCCAAAACATGCCAGACTCCCCCTGAGGCATCATCCAGCGAGCAGAGTAAACGGAAAATGAGAAGAAAGCTGGGGAAGTGGGGAAGATGGCACAGGCCCCAGGGAAAGAGCTTTGGCAGGAGTGCAAGAGGGGATGCAGGCAGAGCCTGAGCAGGGCCCTTTGCTGTTTCTGCTTTCCCGTGCAGAGAGTTCCATAAACTGCAGTTTGGGATGAATGGCTGGGAGTGAGCCCAGGAGGACAGTCTGTGGGAAGGGCAGAGGGAAGGAGGAGCAGCCGCTATCCTACGTTGTCATCTTTTGAAAGTTTGCCCTGTGCCCACACTGCTGCATCATAGGATGCTTAACAGCTGGTGTAGACACAGTTGAAGAGAGAATCAGTGGGGTGGATTTGCAGCACAGATCTGAATAAATTCTCCTGAATGTGGAGCAGCACAGAAGCAAGTACACAGAAAGTTCCTGATGCCAGGGCAAAGTTCAGTGGGCACCTTCAGGCATTGCTGCTGGGCACACACATTCTGAAAAGCACTGGCAGGAACTCCCCGTGACAAAGCAGAACCCTGCAGGCAATGCCAGCCCCAGAGCCCTCCCTGAGAGCCTCATGGGCAAAGATGTGCAGAACAGGTGCTTCTCCTAGCCCCAAACTGAGGGTGAAGCAAATGTCCATCTGAAGGAGAACAGGCAAATAAACAGTGGCAGGTTCATGCAATGCAAACCCAGACAGCCACGAGGACAACAGTACACGGTTATGAGCGATTCTGCGGTTAAGTTCATGACAATGCTGAGTAATTGGACTAACAACGGAAACTCCAAGAAAAATTTTCAGTGTGATTTCTTCTAAATAAAATGTACAGCCAGCAAAATGAACCGTCTTCCTGAGAGATACATTTCCCAGTTAGAAAACCATAAAGAAAACCAAGAAAATGATAATCACATAATCAAAGTAGTGGTTACTTCTACTGGGGAAGGAAGAGGGTATGAACTCAGACGCACAGGGTTGGCAAGTCTCCTAACAAGAACAGAACAAATACATGACAGAACCTTGAAAACAGCAGTTAAACTTCTAAATCACAAGAAGAGGAAAATGCACACAGCTGTGTTTAGAAAATTCTCACTCCAGCACTGTTCACAATAGCAAAGACATTAACCCAGGTTGGAGAAATAAACGATGACGCAGGCAATTGTACAATGATACAGACATATATTTAGTATACGAGACATCGATGATGTATCACCCAAAGAAATGACTTTAAAGAGAAAAGGTCTGATGTGTGGTAACACTCACCTCCCTGGGCATCCCCGGACAGGCTGCAGGTTCACTGCACGGCAGGGCAGCCTGTTACCTGCTGGCAGCTCCTGTGGCCTGACGTGGAGCAAGCACAGAGCCCCGAGGACATATACCCCTGAGGACGGCATAGTCAGTGAATTCCAGAGAGAAGCAACTCAGCCACACTCCTGGCCAGAGCCTGAGAGGGACGCCCATCTCGTCCCTCTCGAGAGAGAGCAGGGAGGCAGAGCCCAGCTCCTCCACAGCCAGCACCACCTGGGCAGCAGCCGCCATCTGGCAGGCACAGAGCAGGGGCTGGGAGGAGGGGCAGGGACACCAGGCAGGGTCAGCACCCAGAGAAAACTGCAGGAATCTCACACATCCACCTCAGCCTCCCCTGACCTGGACCTCTCCTGACCTGGGTTTAACCTGTGCTGCAACTCACCTGGCATGGGCCTCACTGGACTGGAACTCACCTGGCCTCGGGCCTCACCTGCACATGCTCCAGGTCTTGCTGGAACCTGAGTAGCACTGAGGCTGCAGAAGCTCGTCCAGGGTTGGGGAATGTCTCTGGAACTCTCCCACATCTCACCTTTCTGGGTGGAGGCACCTGGTGGCCCAGGGAATATAAAAAGCCCCAGAATGATGCCTGCGTGATTTGGGGGCAATTTATGAACCCGAAAGGACGAGGCCATGGGGTGGGTAGGGACAGTAGGAACAGATGCCAGCCTGAAATGGAGCCTCAGGACACAGGTGGGCACGGACACTGTCCACCACAGCGAGGGGCAGACCTGGGTGTCCCGCAGCAGACCTGAGAACGCTGGGCCCACAGCCTCCCCTCAGGGCTCCGCTGCCTCCTCAGGTCAGCCCTGAACATCCCGGGTTTCCTCGGGCCTGGCGGTAGGTTTGAAGTGAGGTCTGTGTCACAGTGGTATTACTATAGTGGTAGTTATTACTACCACAGCGTCACAGAGTCTATCAAAAACCCAACCCTGGGAGCCTCCTGCCACAGCCCTCCCCGCGGAGGTCCGCCACGTGCCATGTTAACATTTTGATCGAGGACACAGCACCATGGGTGTGGTGGCCACCACAGCAGTGCAGCCTGTGACCCAAACGCACAGGGTGGCAGGCACAATGGACAGGCCCACGAGTGACCACACTGGGCTCCAGCCCGCCAGCCCCAGAGACCATGAAACAGATGGCGAAGATCACCCCACAGGTCAGCCAGACCTTGCTCCAAGGGGTCCACACCGCTGCTGCCCTCCAACCCCAGTCCAGATGGGGACAGGGCCGGCTCCACAGCACCATCTGCTGCTGTCCGGCCAGCGGTCCCGGAAGCCCCTCCCTCAAGGCTGGGCCACATGTGTGGACCCTGAGAGGCCCCCATGTCTGAGTACGGGCACCAGGATGGGGGAGATGGTCCTGTGCACTGTTCCTGCCCTGGTGGTCCCCAACCTGCCTGGCCCTGATGCCTGAGCCTCTCTCGGGTCATTTCCAACACAGAAGACATTCCCGGGGACAGCCGGAGCTGGGCGTCACTCATCCTGCCTGGCCGTCCTGAGTCCTGCTCGTTTCCTGACCTCACCGGGGAAGCCAACAGAGGACTCACCTCCCACAGTCAGAGACAAAGAACCCTCCAGAAATCTCTGTGTCACTCCCCAGTGGCCTCTTCTAGGACAGTCCTCGGTGGCATCACAGCGGGAACCCACATCTGGATCAGGACGGCCCCCAGAACACAAGATGGCCCATGGGGACAGCCCCACAGCCCAGCCCTTCACAGACCCCTAAAAGGCGTCCCACCCCCTGCACCTGCCCCAGAGCTCAAACTCCAGGAGGCCTGACTCCTGCACACCCTCTGGCCGGACGTCACCTCAGCCTTCCTGGAGGGGACACTGAGTCAGATCCACCTGCCCTCGATGGCAGGCGGGAAAGATTCAGAAAGGCCTGAGATCCCCAGGA